CCCCAAAACCCCAAAACCCCAAAACCCCAAAACCCCTCAATAAACTCAAATAGTTGAAATATTGTGGTGCTAAATATTTATAAGGCTTAAATAATATTAGAGAACTCACTCATGAGTTCTTTCTCCATATCATCAAACTTGCCTATCAATTTCTCATATCATGAGATCCAGTGCATCATTGGGTCTGATAACTTCTTTATATCCATAGCTTTTTCTTGGCAATCTTTTATCTCTTGATCAGCTTGTTTCTGAAGATTCTCTGCATAATCTTTACACTCAATGATGCCTTCTCTTCAAAGATGGACTCATTGACTAGCTTCCATGACTGAGCTAGACATATCTTCAAAGCAGTAATAGCTTCATCTGGCAGATTTATAGTTCAGAATGTTGAATTCCTTGTTCAGGAATGCATAAAATTTTATTTGTCTATCCTTCAGGGCGTTAAACATTGCTTGAAACACCTGCTGGTTCAAGTAATCAACCTGGTTCTGCTTTTCAGAGACATTGTATTGCTTCTTCATATCTTTAAAGGATGATTCTTTAGAGCTCATGTCTTTAAATTCCTCATGTATGTTTTTATCTGGTTGGGAGTTGTAAGCCTTATGCTTTCTGAACAGAGCAGGCCTTTTATCATCAACCTCTTTATTTTCTTTCTCCTGTTGCTCATAAAACACTTCTCTCATAACTTTTTCTCTTTGGTATTGGTCTTCATACATCGTTAAGTAGTCATTTTCGGTTTCGAAGACTTGGGCTTGTCCTTTTCTTTTGATTTCTTCGATTTCTAAGTCGCGTTCTTCAATAAGTTCCTTCTCTTGACGCTCAAATTCTGCTAATTTCTCTTTCTCTGTCAGTTCAGACATCCCTTGCTTGCCAGATTTGGAACTACCAGCAAGTTTGGAGAGTAGATCATGGTCTTCGCTTTGGGGTTCTAATTCTTCTGTCACTTCATCTTTTGGCTTTTCTGGCTCTGCTTTTGAGCCTGTCTTGAGAAGGTAATTGTTTAATGATAATTTCTTGGAAGGATCTGCCATGCTGAGTGGTAATTTATCTAATTTTGGATGAAAAATTGGGGTTTTGGGGTTTTGGGGTTTTGGGGTTTTGGGG